TAGGGGTTGGCCGTGTAGGAATCTGGATAGTATCAGTTTCTTTTTCTTTCTTCTTCTTCGTTCTTAATTTTAGTGTTGGAAGGGATCCCCTCCAACACAATTAAGGATACGTGTCAACTGGTTATGCGCCATTGAGGCCATTGACTCCGATTTCAGTCTGCTTTTCTTTTAGGATTTGCTTCTATAGCCTTTGTCCAACCAAGAACAAACTGCAAGGCAGCAGTTGTTTGCTTTTGGAGTTGTCTCTCCTAGAAGAGTGGCTGTCCCCAGCTAACGAGCCTCATCTGCCCGAGGGTTAGAAATCGAGACATTTCGGTTTAGCAACCATGAACTTTTTCCGACTCGACCACGCCGACCCCTATCAGTTTCTATAACGTGTTCCTTTTCTTTGCTTTGTGAACTGTCTTTTTTATTTTTCCTTAAAGTCTTGTTGCTTCTTCCCGGAACTGTTGTCCATTCTTCTTCTATGGTTGGGGCCAGAGCCGGCGTTTGGGGGTGGCAAACGAAGCGGTCACGCTTCAGCACCGTCATTGTTATTTGAATTAGTTTGTAAACTTGAATAATCGTTGCTGAATAATATTGGAAAAAACTAAATGGCCAAATTCCGACAATATTGATTGTTATAACTGAGGACACGGTTGATATTGGTTATCACCCACCTGAAGTGGGACAGGCCGTAATTCGATATAAAATCAGTGTCACACCTCGCTGTGCGCAGGGTACGGTCGCCTCGCATTTGACCTGAGGTGAATGGAGATGTTTGGACGCGATTTATCCCCCGACCTGACCTGGGAGGAAAATTTCGAAAACACGTAAAGAGATATACTATTGAATGCGGACCGATGAAGATGTCCTTTTAGTGAGAAGACGGGATGCCTGTAGTAGACAGTGGCCTGATGAACGCTAGTCCTGACTTTCTCGTTGTAGTTGTCGTATACATACTTGTCTTGGTATAACAAAATTAACACTCAGTGGGAGGAGGGCGATGGGGGGGGGGGGGGAGAGGCCCTGGGGATCCACATCAGGGGCATCCAACAGAGTGATTTATTAATTTATTTTTTTTGGAAGAAAGTTAAAAGTGTTGTTATGTTGTGTCATCCTAAGGATTTATCCGTTCCCGGGCAGAATTATTAATTTAAAGGATGCATCCAAATTGTTAAATACAATCGACTACCAATGGTGCTGATATGATATAGTCATCGAATTGTCCGCATGGCACATTTTTTATGGAGGAAGGGTCATCGGCGAAAAGCAGTAATATGGTAGTCATGGATAAACGCGGTCTTTCAATATGTATCTGATTCGTAAAGTGATTAAGCACATTTTTTATTGTAGGGATATACTTTACAATAGTAAATAGCATAATGATTTTGGTTTTAAAATATTTTAGGAATTCAAATTTTGAAGTCTATACTGTTTTGATACACTGAGCCGAGTTCGCTTTATTGTAAAGTTGTCCTAATTTCTCACACGTCTCGAGTACTGGCATTCAAGGTAGTCCGATCATGCCGTAGCAAAACTCTTAAATAAAGTGTCGCTGGCTGTCACGTGGTTCACTTCCTAATTATAGACACAAACCTTCTCTTGTAAGACCGCGATCTTGACCAGTAATTTAATACGTGGACGCTCTGTAAACACGAAGCTCCTTTTGAATGACTCCAGTCAGAGATCCAGTAACGTAGTACTCGAACTTGGAGACCTTTTTTTGGGTGTGGCATCTCATAGCCATCGTGCGGCGTCAAAAAGGTCAATGACCAAACGGCCCCGTCAAAACAACCCCGACAAATCGGCCCGGTCAAAAAGGCCAGCAACATATGGACCCCGTCAAATAGGCTCCCCACAAATAGGCTACTGTGATCTAGGCTCCATCATATAGGGTCCCGTAGTTTAGTTTCTCGACAAAACGGCCCAGTCATTACGACTCCTGACAAATTGGCTCCCGTCAATTTGACTCCCGACAAAAGGACCTCTGACAACACGGTTTTCCGGCAAAATGGCCTCATTGAATATGACACCTGCCAGTGGGATCCAGGACCGGCGCTACCTATAAGGCGAGCTAGGCGGTTGCCGTTTTGACGGGGCCGAGTTGTCCCGGGCCGTTTTGACGGTGTACCCATAGCCATAGATTTAAATGCACAGTTAACTTTTACCTAACACCACCAACTGTCACCCACCATAAAGTTCCATCCTACCGAGCGTCCGTGATTAGATGTGATGTCCAAAAACAAAGAGTGTCTTTTCACGATTCGTAATCAGTGCTTATTCACAATTCCAGCTAGATCTATGTCCAAAAGCTATCAATGTTTTTCTATTTGTATTAACTTCAATTACTTTAGTTTTGTTAATTTGTAATTTGACTAAAATTGTGTGCTTACTAACAGTTTCTTTTTAAATACACCTAAAACGCATGACTTTTATATTAACTAATTGTCCTTAAGAAACAATTTAAACAACTTTATTGTCCTAATTTTTTAGCGCAATTTCCATTCTGGAGAATTGCGTTTATTAACGCGTCATTTCTGGATGGATGGATGGATGGATGAATGTATGGATGAATGTGTGTCCGGGCTTTAAGTCGTATCTCCTCCTCAACGAAGCAATATCGATGACTAGTTCCAAAAGCAATTATGTTAAGCAAGTTACAAGAATGAGCATAGGCCATAAAAATTCCGGGTTTCTTTCATGTATTTCCCGGAAAAGCCAAAAAACCTCGAAAAAAAGCAGTTTTTGGCCCATATCTCGTCAACCAGACCACTTAGCGACTTGAAACATGTACCAATCGATTCCTGCCATAATTTAGAGCAATATTGCCGAAGAAAGTTTTCAAAAATATCCTCTCGTTTGGTCACAAATTTTAAAATTACAAAAACACCTACAAACCGATTGTTCTTCTAGCTTGAACGCATCCCAGCATTATGCGTCAGAGCTATTTTTAGATAACATAAGGAAATTGCGCATAAATGTCACTAGACTTTTTTAATTAACTTGTTTTGGTACGTAATGAATTTTCTTGAGTGATTTGGTATCGATTACAAAACTGTCAAAATTATTTAATATCTTTGTAAAAAAATTAAGAACATTTAGTAAACCGTGGGAGCGGTAAACTTCTGTTATTAAAGTAAGAAGATTGGCATTTGCTTATAAAATCCTAATAAATATTTATATACATATATATAGGCTGTTTATATAATTGAAAAAGCAGGCCCTTCGCAGATGGTTGGCCCTAGGCCCCGCGTATTCCTAACGCCGGCTCTGGTTGGGGCTGTGGATGGTTCTTGGGCTTGCTCGATTTCTGGTGCGTCGTCTGACACATATTCACTGTCATATCCGAGTTGATCATTGGCGAAATAGTAACCATCATTATCTATCGATAGTTTCTTTCCCTTACATACGAGCTTCGGCAGGCGGCCGGCCCGTGTTTGGTTGTGCCGCACAGGGGGCATATAAATCTCCTACCGTTTAGCTGCAATAAGAGGGTGGTTTGCGAGGTGTCCGTATTATCCTCAGGACAAAGCGAAGGCCAGCTGAGGTTTCTTGAAAGTCGTGTCTGTCTGGTTTCGGCCATCTTGGTTTCCAAATTCACAAGATTATAAACTCATGAAGGTTCTGCTAATGTATTAGATCTGCTACGTCTGGCTTTTTTTTTTCTTTTTCTTTGAAATAAAAAGGTGGTGTTTACTTGTATGGTTCCAAAATCTATAGTGATGACTGACGGACAGACGGACTGACACACTATTATTATAAATATGTATTTATTTATTTTATTATGCCTATTAACTTTAATCTCATTGGAACAATCAAGCCAACTAGCCATGCTACCTGCACTGGAAATCACTTTTATTTATCCCTGGTTAAGCATTATCTTTTGTCTAATCCTTTATGAAAAATAAATATCTATTATGTTGTATTTGCAGGAATTGCAAATAGGTATTTTGGTCATTTTGCTTTTTCTCATCGTTGTCGGAAATGTTATTGTATTGGTTGCCATTTCTCTGTCAAAAAAACAAAGGAAGTCGAGGATGAATTTTTTCATAATGCATTTAGCACTGTGTGGTAAGTTCCTCTCTAAAACTCTGTATCACATCAACGTAGAGTGTAAAAAGGGAAATAGACTTTTGTTTAAGAAAGCCACAAAACTCACTCAAAATAATGTATATAGCATGATAATTTATAACAACGATATTTAGACTAAAATTTTGAATAATAATACTTTTGAAAAGAACATGACAAATAATTGAATATTATTTGTTTAAAAGTTTGGTGGTTTTTTTCTGGACTCTTTCAAGCTGAATCATACAATAAGATTACAATAATGTGAAATAAATCATAGGTTTTCTCAATCCATTTGTTTCTATTTTATTTCAAAAGTATGTTGTGTATATATTGGAAGTTTATACTTTGCAACCAAATGTAATACCATGCTTGTGTTGAAGACTTGCTTACAGGGCCTGCTGTAGTAACGGTTGACCTCATATCACGCATGACCAGCCACTGGTACGCTGGGGACACCTTCTGTAGAATACATAAATTTGCCGCTGTGAGTCACAAGTAATTCTTTTTAACTTTTCCAAATGTTCATAGCACCAGCTGAACATTTAGCACATTACTTACTTTTTAACTAAATGCTCTTCTAGGTCTCAGTCATGTATGCCTCTACCTACATGTTAGTGGCACTGAGTGTTGATCGACTTGAAGCTGTAGCAAGACCACTCCACTTCACTGGACGCTGTGGGTAGCCGTTTTCTTTATACATGTGGGCTTGATTATATTAGACGTTTGTGTATTATGTAGTAGCTGGCTAATTAGTCTCTACTCTTTAAACGTTGAAACCCTTTGAATATTTGCAAAAAACGGTACACGACAAAATTTGGATAAAAGTTTACGTTTTGAAAAAGACATTAAATCAGCTAATTATAGAGCTTTACAAAGTAGCTAATGTTTTTAGTAAAAGTAAAATTGTATCCGACATTTAGAAGAACCTCATAAAATAAAAGTAACTATTTCGAATCTGGCGGTCTCTATCAAACAGATGAAATAGAATTCGCCTGTTTCTATGACATCGGCATATAATGGCGTAAGTTTTATGGTCCCTAACGTGAGTCAGGTACCATCAGAGCTGGGTAGACTCGTTGAGTTCACATGCCTACTGTTTAATGATTACATATAGATTTTAGATTGCGTTAAATAACGTATGAAGCAGCAGCATGTATGTTGTCAGCGTGAACATATTTTTAAAAATTTAACAAATAACCTATCTTTTTGTAAAATTACATAGATCTATCTTAGACTGTTAAGAAAAGCTTATAATGAAGAGAAACACAAACTATGATTTGCATGTAGAACTATCCTCTCGATATTTTTTTTCTGTTGTCGCTGTGTGACCCGGTAAACAAACCGATTTCATCAAAAACTTGTGAAATAAAACAATACTAGATTCTAGATCTAGATCTAGTTCTATTTCAGTTACGAACATAAGTTAAAGACTCGGGATCTTTACATTTTTTTGTAAACTAATAGGAGTTTATTGCACTTTGTAATAAAACCGCTACAGTACGGAAACCAAGGGTAACGTTATTAAATATATTGTTCTTTGACATTTGACTAATTATTCAATAGTTCTGTGCTACTACTGTCTGGCTACAGGACATAACCCCACCCCCTTAAATTACCACCCGGAGCAATTACCCCCATCCCCGGAGAATTACCCCCCCCCCCCCAAAGTTAGAATCCAAACTCAAACTCAAATTCTATACTTATATATTACTGTAATATAGTGAGACTTGTGAAGTCAAGGGAACTCACTCTTCTTGTATTAGTATTATATTTAAACTGTTATCTTGAGTGATGTCCCTTATATGTATATATATATTTCTGTCTCGTGACTTCCGCCCTCTGTCGTTACCATCATGTAGTTGAGGCCAATAAACGTTTTATATACAATCACATGCTTCTATCGTCAATCTATTACATCTGGCGACGAGGATGGGATAATCCACTAGAAAGAGCATATGCTTACTTAAAAAGGAGCTTGCTAGAGCATATTGGCTAAGTATTTCTAGGATAATGGCGCTGTATGGCCAAATAAAAGAATTTTATTCGAATGATGAAACCATTCATGATTATCTAGATAGGTTTAGCTTTTACCTTGAAGCTAACGACGTGATGATAGAAGCCAAAAAGAGAGCTGTTTTGTTAACAGTCATAGGGCCTCAACAATTTAGGCTATTAAAGGACTTATGCGCACCAGCTAGTCCAGATACCAAGAGCTTTAACGAGCTGAGCAAATTGCTAACAGACCACCATGCGCCTATACCATCAAAGTTTCTATGTAGAGCTAGATTTGACGGTAGGACTCGTCAACCAAACGAGTCAATATCAGAATATGTTGCTGCTTTACGTCATTTAAGTGAATTTTGTGAATTCGGAGACACGCTGTCTGACAGACAATGTGAAAAGTTTGTGACAGGTGTAAACAGTCCTGATGTTCAAAGAAAGTTGCTGCTCGAGTCAGATCTAACATTAGAAAAAGCAATACAACTTGCAACTTCATTCCAGCAGTCATCCGAGGCGGCAAAATCTCTAACGCCCTCAGAGATCCATGCAGTAAACAGCAGGTTAGTCAACAAACACCAACCCCATCAGAGCATTTCAACTTATGCTAAACAGCCTGCACGTTCAAATCCTAGATCTAAATCTAATAATAATTATCAAAAATGTCATCGATGCAAAGGTCCCCATGCATCTCATCGATGCAAGTTCAAGTCAGCTACTTGTTATAAGTGCAGTAAGCAAGGTCAAATTGCCAAGGCCTGCTTTGCAAAGTCTTCGTCTGTTGCTAAATCTAGCCAGTCAAGACAGTACCGCAACCAAAGACAGCACTATGTTAACTCTCACCAAGACTACCTAACCCAACCAATGAACCACTCTACCTGTGAAAATACTCAAACTGATTCGCAGCCGGATTTCAACCTGTTCTCTGTGAAATCAATAAGTCATGCTCCCATCAATGTACTAGTTAATATCAACGGTAAGAGCATCAACTTCCAACTTGACACTGGAGCATCTCTAACAGTCATCACAAAGAAGGACTTTGACGCTGTCACAGGAGGATCAGTGCCTCTACAACCATGTCACAAGTGTCTAACAACATACACTGGTGACAATGTTCCGGTAATAGGAGAGTGTATGGTTCATGTAAGTTATAATAGTCAAAGTGTTAAACTTCCTCTTCTTGTGGTTGAAGGAAATGGACCACCATTACTAGGTAGGAACTGGTTAAGTGATCTTTAGTTAAATTGGGAGAGTATATTTTCAGTGATCAAAGCAAGAGAATCTAGTTTTACTTCAATAGATAAAGTTATATTTGAAAATGAAAGTGTTTTTGGTAATTCAGGATTACTAAACGATAGAACAGTGAAGATAAGCATTAAAGACACAAATCCAAGATACTGCAAAGCTAGAGTTCTACCTTATGCAATGAGGAATAAAATTGAAAATGAGCTAAGTAGATTGGAATCTAATGGCATCATAAAGAAGGTAGACTATTCCGATTGGGCAACGCCCATTGTGCCAGTGTTAAAGAAGGATGGTTCTGTAAGAATTTGTGGAGACTATAAAGCTACACTGAATAAGCAAATAGAGCTAAATAGGTACCCTATTCCTAACATTGAGGAAATTTCTTTGAATTTGGCAGGAGGAGACAAATTCACTGAATTAGACTTTAGTCATGCTTACACTCAACTAGAACTGCATCCAGATTCAAAAGTCTATACGACAATAAACACACATAAAGGACTCTACCAATATGAAAGACTATGTTTTGGCATATCATCCAGCCCTGGAATTTTCCAGGCTGTCATGGACAGTATTTTTAAGGATATTCCAAATGTTTGTGTTTACTTTGACAATGTGTACATAACTGGTAAGAATGACACTGAACATCTTAAAACACTTGATAAAGTCTTGAAAATAGTTGGTGAAAAAGGTTTAAAGATAAACAAAGATAAATGTCAATTCATGCTGACAGAAATTAGTTTTCTTGGTTATATATTAAGCAAGCAAGGTATCAGACCTCAACCTGAGAAAACAAAAGCCATTAAAGAAGCACCCAAACCTGAAAATACCCAACAACTAAGAGCTTTTTTGGGCTTGATAAATTACTATGCAAAGTTCATAGGGAATCTGTCTGGTAAACTATCACCACTGTACAAACTGCTACAGAAAAATGCAACTTGGCACTGGGGTAAACAACAAGATGCTGCTTTTAATACAGCAAAAGAAGCTTTGTCTTCTGACACCTTACTAACTCACTATGACCCAGGGAAAAGACTTATATTAACATGTGATGCTTCACCAGATGGTGTAGGAGCAGTCTTGTCCCACATGGATGAAAAGGGTGACAGACCCATTGCTTTTGCCAGTAGATCTTTGAACCAGGCTGAGAAAAATTATTCTCAGTTAGATAGGGAAGGCTTAGGCATCATTTTTGGTGTTAAGAAATTTCATAAGTTTCTGTTTGGTAGGAAGTTCACCATCTTTACAGATCATAAGCCATTGCTAGGTTTATTTGGAGAAAACAAACCCCTACCTGAGCATGCCTCACCAAGAATTCAAAGATGGGCTATCACACTAACTGCATACAATTATGAATTGAAATACAAACCTGGATCTGAGAATAGTGCAGATAGTCTTAGTCGATTACCTTTAAAAAACCAAAGCCTTAGCTATGTACCAGAAGATGTATTTGTTCTCTTCACTATCATGGATAACTCCAATATAAATGTGAATGATGTCAAGAGAGAAACACAAAAAGATGAGTGCTTAATAAAAGTATATGAGTACTGTAAGTATGGTTGGCCTGAAGAGTCAGTGAATGAGGACTTAAAGCCATATAAAATAAGAAAAATGGAATTAAGTCTAAAAGATGGAGAAGATGCAGTCCATTATCAGTCAGAGTTGCCTAAACAAAGTATTTGTAACTTAATAAATGATTATGGTGATATGGCAAATTTCAAATGCTTTTAAAGAGAATACATTAGTAAGAAGGAATGTGATCATCAAACAACTTTGCTAACATCATTAGCACTTACAGAAACTAAAAGGGTAACATCAAAAGAAAAAAAGATTTTTGCCATTTAATACACCCACTTCAAATACTGGATCACAGTTGCAAATTGATATGGTCCAGGATATTACTTTTAAACAGTATTTTTGGTTACTAAAAAGCACTATCAGATTACCTGAGAAAATTGATCAATCAAAGAAATCTATGTCAGTTAAGGATCTGAATAATAGCATAATACTTTCAGATGCCAATTCAAAAATAGTTCCATTAAATCATGACAAGACATCCATTGAAAGAGAATTTGGAGTTAATGACAATGTGTATCTGAGAAATTATGGGAGAAGGGAAAAATGGATACCAGGTCAAATTGTTCAATGTACAGGACCTGTGTCTTATAAAGTAAAAACAAATGATGGACTTATTGTCCGTAGACACGCAGACCAGTTAAAAATAACTTGTGCAGATAATAAGTGTGAATCTATCAATCCCACCAAATCTGATCAGTTCACACCAACTCAGTTTGTTCCACAACCGAGTTCTGTTGATATGAGTGAACCAAGTTGTCTAGAGTCAGAAAATGTAAATTCTGGAATTAATGATTTAGATCCTAGACCTCCTGAGATAGAGAATCCATATGGTCAGAATCTTGAGTCACCAAATCAAAAGCCACTGAGAAGGTCAAGCAGGACAATCAAAGTCCCAAATAAGTTAGACCTATGATTTTAAAGGTCAAAAGGACTTTGACATCATTGTTTTGTATTTTAATTATGTTGTAACGTATTGTGCATTGTTTGTAAGGATGTAATCTACCATACTGTTCATGTTACAATATAATTGGTGATTTTAGGATACTGTAAATTGTTCTATTGAGAGATGTGTTGTGTTTACTAAGGGTAAAGGGATGTAATATAGTGAGACTTGTGAAGTCAAGGGAACTCACTCTTCTTGTATTAGTATTATATTTATACTGTTATCTTGAGTGATGTCCCTTATATGTATATATATATTTGTGTCTCGTGACTTCCGCCCTCTCTCGTTACCATCATGTAGTTGAGGCCAATAAACGTTTTATATACAATCACATGCTTCTATCGTCAATCTATTACAATTACCTTAATCCTAACCTTAAGAAAAAGAGCTAAACCTAAGCATTCACCTCAGCCTAAAACACAAAACCAAAACCAATGCTAGACATTGTTTTTAAAGCATCACCCTAACACTAACCCTAGCCATAGCCATAGCCCTAACCCTGACCATAACACTAATCCTAACCCTAAATCTAGCCCTAGACGTAAACCCTAACCCTAGACATAGCCCTAACCCAAGCCATAGCTTTAACCCTAAACCTAACTCTAACCCTAGCCCTAACCATGTCCGAGGAGTAATGTTCTTCTGGGCGGGGGGTAATTGACAGGGGGTAATGACCTGTTCCCCTGCTGTCTATCTGTGACAGTGATTTGTTGTTACTTTGTGCTTTTGAAACCTGGTTAATCAGCTAGTTCGTTCGTTAGTGTTCATCGTCAGTTAGATTAGAATATTGCAGATGCTGGCGTTAATTCATCGCTAATTCTTCAGAGATAATATTAATATTATTGCAGATACTGGCAGATTCATCACTTTCTCTTCAGAGCTTAGATAATTGCAGATACTGCATTGATTCATCACTTTCTCTCCAGAGCTTAGATAATTGCAGATACTGCATTGATTCATCACTTTCTCTCCAGAGCTTAGATAATTGCAGATACTGGCAGATTCATCACTTTCTCTCCAGAGCTTAGATAATTGCAGATACTGCATTGATTCATTACTTTCTCTCCAGAGCTTAGATAATTGCAGATACTGCATTGATTCATCACTTTCTCTCCAGAGCTTAGATAATTGCAGATACTGGCAGATTCATCACTTTCTCTCCAGAGCTTAGATAATTGCAGATACTGCATTGATTCATTACTTTCTCTCCAGAGCTTAGATAATTGCAGATACTGCATTGATTCATCACTTTCTCTTCAGGGCTTCGCTTTAGGATTCTTGTGGCCTTAGTTTGGGTTTTTTCTTGCGTGTTTGCCACACCACACCTACTCTTGTTTCAAGTGGACGAAATTTTCGATGGACCTATATGTCATATTAACATGCCGCTAATGGGGTGGAAGGTAATAATAATAATATGTATTTTAAATAACGATTTGCCAAACTATACACATGCCTAGCTATAAGGCCTATATACATTCATAAACGTGAAGACTTAGAAATTTAAGAGAGTAGTCACTGGAAAGGTCACACTTTTTGCAATGAGTATTCTGAAAGACTGATTTATTAGGTAAAATTAGAGGAATAACATAATTTTCTCAAATTAGTTTTTAGTTTAATCAATAAGCTAAAATCAATTAATAGATATAATTGTATTTCCATTATAATTTATTACATCTAAATATGTGTTAAAAAATTGTATTACTATTTTTGCGTTTAAAAAAAAACGAAAGGTCAACGGCGACAATTATAGTAAAAAATGCAATCATTAAAATAATTTTTAGATCTCATAATGTTGTAGGTCTATATTTATTTTTATTTTCTCGTACACTGAGTAAAGAGAAAGTACTATAATCGTGCACCAATATTAAATGCGATTTTGACAGTTTTTGCTGTTTTACATATTTCTGTTTGATCTTATATGATCTATAAAGCATGTTTGGTAAACGTGCAAACATCGAAATCCAGCTTTTAAAATCTCCACGTCTCACATCCTCCCGAGTCCGAAAAAAAGATTTGCAATATTGACCGTCTTTCTGTGTGTCATAGAAACAGGCGAATTCTACTTCATGTGTCTATATATATATATATATATATATATATATATATATATATATATATATATATATATATATATATATATATATATATATATATCACGATAACTCGAGTACCGTTACAGTTAGGTTGACGAAATTTCATAAAGGCCTACAAATATTTACTAATTTTTTTAGTCGTTTTGAGCGTTTTCCGGTAATCGAAACTAGTACTTTTTCCGCTTCAGAGTTCTCAAAAGACAATATCTTGAGTAAAGTTTAAGTTAGGTGTTTACATACAGATGGATGGATGGATAAGATTGCAAAAGATCATCTGACTCATGGAGGTGTAGAGTGCAGATAATTAAGAAATCTTGATGCACGATTATAATACTTCTTCTATAGTCTGTATCTGTATAAGAGAAAATAAAATAAAAAAAGTAATTTTCGTTTTTTACGTAGTATTTTTTACTAGTGTAGCCTCTCTTCCCCCCCCCCTCCCCGTCAAAACTCGCAAGAATTACATTAATAGTCTTATTTGACGATATGTACATACCTACTTTTGTTGCATAATCTGACCTACATGATTTTTTTTCATCAGATTTACGTTACCCTTGTGGCGATGTCTTTATTTTTTATACCCGCGCTCATCATCCTATTTTGCTACGTTGCGATCATCTTCGTTATCTTCAATAGCAGTCAAATTTTGATGTCTGTCAATAGAAGATACAAGAAAAAGGAAAGAGTTCCGGGTAACTACCAAGATGTATAATTTATTGTTGTCTCTCATTTTACTATAAAATAAGCTACAACAGTCTGTTTGATCACACAGAGCCAATACTAGAGCACACTGACAGCGTAGATATTAAGGTACATTCCCAGAGTTCAATGGGCGTTATTCCCCAGGCCAAGATTAGAACTATAAAGATGACTTTCCTCATTGTGCTAGGTAACTACTACTTATTTCCATTATGTTTACTTCATTCTCTAAACCTATTAATATAGGCTTTCCAATACTTCACAATTACATTTGTTTGTTGTTTTTTTTTGTCTGTTTGCTTGTTTGTGGCTTTGTCGAGTGACCCGGGATCCCAAATGAGCACTATATATATATATATATATATATATATATATATATATATATATATATATATATATATATATATATATATATATATATATATATATATATATATGTGGTTCCATGACAAATTATCTCTGGACAAATGATCTCAGGACAAAATATCTCAGACAAAATATCTTACGGACAAATGATCTCAGGACAAATGATCTCACGGACAAAAGATACCAGGACAAAATATATCAGGACAAATGATATCATGGACAAATGATCTCAGACAAAATATCTCACAGCAAAATGTTAATAGTAATGAGTTTAGTTGATTTGAACTTTTTTTTAATTGACTGTCAATATAGTTTAATTTACTCTTCTACGCATAATAATTGATTGTTATAAAATGAATTTGTTAAACTTAAACAAATGTGAATGGGTCTTCGGGTTCGTAACTTAAAACTGTTGTTTTTACTGCATCATCAACACAAAAATAAAGTTTACGTTACTTTGCTGGCAGGTACATCGTTATGATCACACATTTCCAATACTATGTGATCATGTATTGTGTGAACTTTCGCTGTAGCCTACATGTTCTTACTTGACATTTCCAAATCTTTTTGCCTGCTGCTCTACTTATGGCTTGTATAAACAGAAATTCATTAGAGGTAAAGAGGCCTTAGCTGAGTAATCACCAGTGATACTGCTTTGTTTGCATGTACGCTGCGACGAACTTTGCTCCGCGATGACCGCTGTCGTTTAAATAAGCATTTGTCACCTGATCACTAAGGTGTGACCGACGCATAACACTTGACTTTGGATGGAGGGCGGATGTCTTCCCAATAAGGCATGTTAATGTCAAAGCGGGCGGCTTGATACGAAGGTGTGTCTTTATTATTTCATTCCCTTTAATCTAGTTTCGTCCACCTGACGTGGTAGGATTGTCTCGTGCTTGTCAAGCCCACCTACGCTATCTATCGAAAACATTTCTTTAATCTTCGCATACTATATTAGTAATCTGAATTTTAAAATGCCTAGTACAATATGCCAAATTTATACGGCAAACATGTCTTACAGTTATTATATAAGCCTATAAACAATATTAAACATAGTAAACAAAACCATATGACAGTCAATAAAAAAAAATGTTCACATCAACTAAAATTATCCAATACACTTTTAAAATTTTGCTGTGAGATATTTTTTGTCTGAGATCATTTGTCCTGAGATCATTTGTCCAGTCACCATATACATATATATATATATATATATATATATATATATATATATATATATATATATATATATATATATATATATATATATATATACAGTGGCGTAGCGAGGTCAGGTGTCACCCGGTGCGGCACTTATTGGTGTCACCCCCCAGAGGCGTAGCACCATCCCCCCTCAAACTTTCGATTTGCACCCCACTCCTCAAGTTTTCGATTTGACCCCCTCCCCTCAAACTTTCGATTTGCACCCCCCCCCCCTCAAGTTTTCGACTTGCACCCCCCCCCTCAAACTTTCGATTTGCACTCCCCCCCCCAAGTTTTTCTCTCTATATTTTGCGATTTTCTTGCCTTGGTGTCACCCCCCACCCCTAAATGGTGTCACCTGGTGCGGTCCGCACCCCCCGCCCCCCCTCGCTACGCCCCTGTATACATATATATATATATATATATATATATATATATATATATATATATATATATATATATATATATATATATATATATATATATATATATATATATATATATATATATATATATATGTTACGGTCAAAGCCCGAAGTGCGACCAAAGCCCGCAATTGCCGGCCAATGTGGCCAAAGCCCGAAGAACTTAGCACTAAGAGCGTATTTCCTACATTGGCCGGCCAATGCGCGTACTGGCAGGGATGTCCTGGCCAATGTCCTATCTAGACTAAGTTGTGATCGAGTTTTCATTATTCTGGGTGCGGTTTCATTGTGAGTAACGTATTGTTTGGCTCTTGTTTGTATAGCATTCTATATGCAATGCGACATAGACTAAAAGGACCGTCAAATCAAGAGACAGACATAGCGATGGCTGTCAAAATAAATAATCAAAATCCTAATGGAAAAGAATTTGTGAATCAAGTTATTTCTGAACTATAGAACATATGGCATGAACTTTAACTAGTTCACAGAAAACCAAGGCATAGCCAAAGCCAATGTTCAGTAGAACATGCCAACTAAGATGTTCAAAATATGATGATGACAATGATGCAGAAAAATGAATCGGCTTATTGGGTTGAGAGTCTTAAATTCATTCAATTTATGAAAAACAGTAATTTTCATCAAGGAATCCAACAATAGCCATACGAAACCTTGCTTGGATGCAAGGCAAAAGTGGGACTTAGCACTTCAAATCTACCAAGAGAGGCTCTCGATAATTTGGCTAATGAGGAAGATCTTGCGAACATTGAACAAGTAATGGAGGTTGCCATGCAACGAATCCTCACCTAACACATCTGCTGCCGTGGCGCAACGTCAAGACCAGTTGCGTGACAATAATATGGTCAACATATTATGCGTAGTTTGTGAAAAATATTGCAGTGCAGCCTATTCTTGTGGATCCTGTGGCAACGATGTCTCTCTCTCTCTCTCTCTCTCTCTCTCTCTCTATATATATATATATATATATATATATATATATATATATATATAGAGAGAGAGAGAGAGAGAGAGAGAGAGAGAGAGAGCCAAAACCTTTTTTTTTTTTGGTGTGGGGGTGACACCAGATGACACCCCACCTAGCTTTGCCATTGGGACACGGTATGCCCCTACGGCCTACAGTCAATGGAGGCGAGCGAGTTGACGAGATTCCTTCCATAATGTTGTTGTCATGGAATAAAAACGTGCTTTTTAGATTTAGACCGTAAAAAAAAAAAAAAAAAAAAAAAAAACTTAAGCCTAAAATTAATTTAGAAATTTTATATTCTTAGAATAAATGCTATAAAAGTTACAAATCTAGAGAACTTGAAAATAATTTGTTGAGTTTAAGGCTACATTTCTATTTATTTTCATCAAGCCTAAGTTATAACCGGATGTTTCACTTTCGTAAGACAAATATTGATTGGCTGTACAGTTACTTAGTGATCGATAACTATTTGTTTACAAAACTTTGCAGATCAAGTTTTTAAATAACAATGCAAATTTAAAACCCCATGACCTAGTTTTCTATTTTTAGCTTACAATGTGTACAATAAATCTATGACGGCCTATCCAATAGCAGGATGCCATTGTTTATGTCGCCATTACACGTGAAAACCAAATTGTTTTTGCTTTTTTTTTTTTAATTTTTATTTAGTTACCGAAAATATTAAAAACATCAAATACATCCAATCTTTAGTAAAGTCCGAAAAAAACCAGACAGGCAGGATTTTATAACCATATTAATTGTAACTACGCTGTGCATGATTTTTAAATGAATTTATACACCTCTCAAATACCTTTGAGACTTTTCTCGCTGGTGTCCATTACTTAACCGTATATTCCGACCTTGAAAAAAAAGTTCACATTCTAAAACTACCGATTGATAATTGATAACGCATTCATGAAACCCTCAATAATTTTGCAATATTTTGGTGTGTATTACCAGACAAAGCGGAATAAAATAGATCCATTTTAAACCACACGTCCGGCCTAAAAAAAAGCTCATAGGTGTGTTAAGTCCTAGCTGATTTAGTGTGTCTGACGCCGTCAATGCTAGCCTTCAAATGAGAATATACTCCTTACAAGATTCAGATTTTTGGTGGAATTTGAATTAGATGCCAAGGCATTAGAAACTCTAACATGGGTTGAAACATGATACCCACCTCCCTTATCTTCAGTGTTTCTTCCAGACTTTTTTCTCCGGGGGGTGGGGGGGAGACACTTGAAATTTTCGGGGGGGGGGGGAGCGGACTAAAATTTTCGGGGGGGGGGAGGACAGTGTTAAAAGTATATATTTTCTATATAAATTCCATTTCGTTCGGGGAGGCGGTAGACTTTCTTTCGAGGGGCTTTGCCCCACCTCCCCCCCCCCCCCCCCCCCCGAAGACATGCCTGGAAGATACTCTGCTTATCTCGTCCAGAAAAAGCAATTGGAAATTGTAGTTCCGTTAGCAACCGATCTGTCTAATGTGAAGAGTGTTACTTTTATTTTAACATGTATTTTAATTTATGTTATTAATTTTGTGAACCAGTTGACCAAGTTTATTAGCACGATACAATTTTCAGACTATTTTTATGTAACACTGAATATTTTAAAATATTCTTTTGTTCTGTATCTTCAGTATTCATACTTTGTTGGAGCCCTTATTTCGTATTCAGCATGTGCCAGGTTTTTCAAGTATTTCCAGCCACACCGGAATGGAATAAAGTTTATACGTTAGTTCAAAGCTTGGCACCTCTTAATTCAGCTGCTAATCCTCTAATTTATGGAGTCTTCAGTACAAGAATATGTCGATACATTAGGTGAACCTTTTACTACATTATATACATACATATATATATATATATATATATATATATATATATATATGTGTGTGTGTGTGTGTGTGTGTGTTCCATTGATTCACATACCAACTGTATTTGTGTGATTACATTTTTAAAAAACGTGATACATTTAGAATAAACCGGGAGTAATCTCCCCTAGACCTTCTCAATTCTATATAATAGTTTCGCTGTCTGTCTATCTATCTATCTATCTATCTATCTATCTATCTATCTATCTATCTATCTATCTATCTATCTATCTATCTATCTGTCTGACAAGAACGCTCTAGAGAAAACACAAGCAATTTAAAAACATGCATAGTAATTCGAAAAACGAAGTATGACGTCGACACATTTAGCGCACAGAGTAGAAAATAATCTCAAGCCGGATAGTGCACACATTGATATGACGTCATTGATTATCGAGTAAACATTCAATACAAAGGCAATTTGGTCTAATCTAAGTGGTTTGCGTGAAGAGTTCCTTTCATACAATTCTTCAGGTAGGGGCGAAGCCCCACCCCCGCGTAAGAACGTTTGAGCCCCCCCCCCCCCCCCTCGGGGAGGGGGCGGACACTGGAAAAAGTATATAATTATATTTCGTTGAATGGGACGGTAGACATGTTTTTTAGGGGGGTGGGGGGGTGGGGTGTGTGTGTGGGGGGGGGGGTGGTTTTAATTTAGACTTTTTCCTCCCCGGAGAGGGGTGGTGGTACTTGAAATTTTCGGTGGCGGGGGTAGAATTTTCGGGGAGGGGGCGGACACTGGAAAAAGTATATAAATTATATTTCGTTGAATGGGACGGTAGACATGTTTTTTTTTTGGGGGGGGGGGGGGGTGGTGGGTGTGTGTGGGGGGGGTGGTGTGTGTGGGGGGTGGGGGGGGGGGGTGGTGGGTGGGGTGGTTTTAGTTTAGACTTTTTCCTCCCCGGAGAGGGGGGTGGGGGTACTTGAAATTTTCGGGGGCGGGGGTAGAATTTTCGGGGAGGGGGGCGGACACTGGAAAAAAGTATATAATTATATTTCGTTGAATGGGACGGTATACATGTTTTGTGGGGGGTGGGGGTGTGGTGGGGGTGGTGTGTGTGTGGGTGGGGGGTGGTGTGTGTGGGGGGGTGGGGGGGTGGTTTTAGTTTAGAGAAAAAGAGACAGCACTATCAGCCTAGCGCCCGGTGTATCCTTCCTCAACGGGCCATTTTTCTCGTTATTCTTATATCGGGATATAGACAATATTTTTAATCCATTTTTAATTACTTAAACTTTTAAAAATAGAATAGAATCTCGTAGAAACAATTGCACAGCAAGTGAATGCCAAAAAAGATGTGTATAATAGTGCGGAATATTATTAGTACTTTATAAATTCACATGCGTTTTTTGAGAAATCGGAAATAGCGTAAATTACTACTTCCGGTCAACGGAAATTACTCAAACTTTTATAGAAGGCAGAGCATTAGATCTTTTACTTACATATGACATTTCATTTATGTATCTGAAATAGTACTCAAATTTGAAAAATTGAAAGTAGAAATCGCTGAAAAGTTGATACAGATCTACAAATTTGATATAATATTCATATATAAAATTTCATTAACCTAGCCGTAACGTTACTCAAGTTATCGTGTTTTCCACACTTACTTACTTAGTCCTCTTTGCTCCTTATGGAGCATAGGGCCTCCACCATTTCCTTCCATTTCTTCCTATCCTCGGCTATTAATTTTGACATCTCCCAAGACATCCCTATTGGCTTCAGTTCTTCAAGAAGACTCCGCCTCCAGGTCTGTCTTGGGCGCCCTGTCTTCCGCTTTCCCTGGGGGTTCCACTCAAGCGCTTGGCGTGCCTTTCGCAGTGTGTGACCCACCCAGCGCCACTTCCTCCTTCTTATTTGCACACCTATAGGCTCCTGCCTAGCTTCCTCGGTTGAAGAAGGGGGGTCGGTTCTGTAGCTTCCTTACGGATTTGGCCTGCATTGCGTCATACTTCTCCTAAGTGGAGCCCTGATTCTCCCGAGGACTGGATTTGTTTCGGATTTGGCTTTGGTTTCTGTAACTGCCTTTTGTTTTATGTGGACGAGTAGTTAGCCCATCGCACAACCCCCAACCTGGAGGACCAGGGCACATCGTTTGGTCTGGCCCCTACCCACGCAGATCTGTCCGACTTGGTTAGACCTGCCAGGAGCACTAGGCTCCCGCCGGCATAGCTCTGGGGGTCGCTGGGGCACACAAGCCATCCCACCACTTCAAGGCGGTGGGGGTGTGTGGGTGATCCATCAGGAGGGTTTTTCCACACTATTATACACATTTTTTTGGCGTTCACTTGGTGCGCAATTCTTTTTTCTACGAGATTCTATTCTACAAGAAAAAATGGCCCGTTGAGGAATGATACAACGGGCGCTAGGTTGATAGTGCTGTCTCTTTCCTTTAAACCAAAACCAAAATCACCACTTTAATTAAATTTAACCGGAAACGAAAAATGACATTGAAAACGGATTTTTATCCAGAATCGTCATTTTTTATCGCATTTAAGCTTGATCTACACGTAGTTATCGCGCATTTATACTAAATATACTAAATATATTTAATATAGTCGTAGCCATACCTCTAAATCATGCACCTAATCTCAATCATGACAAAAGTCGCATTTAGAGTGTCTTTCAGGCAACTACTTGGGAGGAAGGAGCTCCCCCCCCCCCCCCCCCCACACACACACACACCAAAGCACCTCTACCGTCCCATTTAACGATATATAATTATATACTTTTGCAAGTTTGTCCCCTCACAGAAAATTCAACCCCGCCCCGAAAATTTCAAGCACCCCCACCCCTCTCCGGCGAGGAAAAAGTCTGAAAGAAACACTGGTAGCATTTGTTGATCATACAAACTAAAGGTAGAGCCTGGGATGGCTTCGCCCTTACCGGAAGAGATGCATGAAAGAAACTATGCACGCAAAACATTTTTTAGATTAGAAAATTTCAAGTTCCCCCACCACTCTCCGGGGAGGAAAAAGTCTGAAAGAAACACTGGTCGTATTTGTAATTCATGCAAACTGAAGGTAGAGCCTACTTCTATAATTTAAACTCGTTACATCGTTTCCTATTTTAGGCCGATCAACCTAACTCTTGCAGACAGTGTTTCTTTCAGATATTTTTCTGGGGGTGGGCACTTGAATTTTTGCAGAGGCGAATAAAATTATCCAGGGCGGGGGATGACGACACTGGTAAAATATATTTTCTATATCAATTATATTTCGTTTTTTTAGGCGGAGGAATCAGACGTTCTACCGAGTGGGGGGGGGGGGGGGGGTTAAAATGGGCTTCGCCCCTACCAGAAGAGAAACTCTTCACGCAAAACACTTAAAACATTAAACACATAATTTAGTCCGTAATGTCAGTATTTTTATTATGGAGTATCGATGACGCCATTTCTTTGAGGGTGTCGGTATAGACGTTCTACCGGAGGGAGGGGAGGAATTAGGCTTTCTACCGTCGGGGGGGGGGGGGGATAGACGTTCTACCGTGGGGGGGGGGGGGGAATAGACGTTCACCGTGGGTTGGGGTAAAGTGGCTTTGCCCCTACCAGAAGAGAAACTCTTCACGCAAAACACAACATTAGACACATAATTTATGCCGTAATGTCAGTATTTTTATTATGGAGTATCGATGACATCATTTCTTTGAGGGGGTCGGTATAGACGTTCTACCGGGGGGGGGGGAGGATTAGACGTTCTACCGGGGGGGGGGGGATTAGACTTTCTTTCGGAAGGGGTGGAAGAGGGGAGGGACTAGACGTTCTACCAGAAGGGATGGGGTTGGAGGGATTAGGCGTTCTACCGGAGGGAGGGAAGGGATTAGACGTTCTACGGAGGGGAAGGGAGGGATTAGACGTTCTACCGGGGGGGGGGGGCGACACTGGTAAAAGTAAAATATATTTTCTATATAAATTCTATTTTGTTTTTTTTTAGGGGGAGGGGGGATCAGACGTTCTACCTGAGATGGAGGGGAAATGGGCTTCGCCCCTACCCGAAGAGATGCATGAAAGAAACCCTGCAAGCAAACCCCTTTTAAGATTAGACACATTAATTAGGCGGTAATTTTATTAAAGAGTATCGGTGACGTTATTTCTTTTGAGTTGGGGGGGGGGGCTTCGACCCTACCCGAAAAATTGCATGAAAGAAACTGCATGCAAACCACTTTTTAGATTAGACACATGAATTAAGCTGTAATTTTATTATAGAGTATCGATGACGACATTTCTTTTGAGTTGGTGGGGGGGGGGGGGGGGCTTAGACGTTCTTACGCGGGGGGATGGGCTTCGCCCCTACCCGAAGAATTGTATGAAAATTACTCTTCACGCAAACCATTTTTAAGATTAGACAAATTTGGCTTTTTAATTCAATGTTTACTATATGCTCCATGTGACGTCATAATTCGTTTTCGTTTTACTATGAAAGTTTTTTTTTTGCTTGTGTTTTCTCAATAGCGTTTTTGTCAGATAGATAGATAGATAGATAGATAGATAGATAGATAGATAGATAGATAGATAGATAGATAGATAGATAGATAGATAGATAGATAGATAGATAGATAGATAGATAGATAGATAGATAGATAGATAGATAGATAGATAGATAGATAGACAGACAGACAGACAGATAGACAGCGAAACTATTAGTATTAATCCCAATCCACTTTAGAAGCTCTTCTTTCTGTATTTACGGATATCAACGGCTCAGGAGGTGTCTCCCGTTAGCCAGTCAGGCCCCAACACGGCCAACTCCTACTAACAGGCTTAGATATCGGTTTGAATAATTTGTTTCTTTCGCTTCTGCCCTTTGGTTCTCGCCAGGTTTATCTTCCATCCCACCAAACGCAGGTTAAAGTCGTACCCCACCGCCCAGTAAAAATGAAATTATATAACTATTAATATTTGTGCAAGGAGCTGGAGAGCCGCATCTGGACATCAATAGAGACGCATGCGGCTCGCGAGCCTCAGGTTGCCGACCCCTGGTATATGCTCATTACCAAATCACCAAATTCCTGGGGGGGGGGGGGGGGGGGGGGGGGTTGTCATACTGGGTTTCTTGAAATTTTTGCTACGTTTTTTATTTTATTTTTGTATGAAGAAAATAATAACTTAAATGAGAAAAAAAATTATGTGTTTAAAATACCATTTTTACGACCCTATTAATCAAAAAATAAATCATTTTTTTTCCAAATCTTGCAAGCTCATTACGACAAGTTTTATATTCGTCATGATATTAAATTTGGCATCATTGGAAAGCTGAATTTTTCATGTATTTGATAATTGTATTTTCCTTCGTCTCGGAAACACCCAAAAGCTTACAATCAGCTTTACAATTTACACAGCTATGGTATTTTTGTGAGCTATTTTTCGATACTTTTTGATGTTTTTCTCAGTTCGCAGTTTTAACACTAAAAAGCCTACTACTTTTTATTTATTAAACAATGCCGACAATATTTTCAGTACTTGTTCTTCATGCAACATTAAACTTTTGTTACAGGGGAACTGTGATGGCTTTCATAGAAAAAAGTGTATGGTAAATAATATGCAAATTTTGAAACTTATGAAAGTACGATTTTTCAGACCGTGTAAAATTCTGACCAGTTGCTCTATCAGAAAGTTGTCGTGACAAAAGTTTAATTGGTACTGAAATAAAAGCCGTTTAAATTAGATTGTTATAAGTGCATACATAAAAAAGCCTTAGTTTTCAAACCCTTTTTTTTTCTATTTAATACTTACCTTTTTACTAAAAGTATTCTACATGCTTTAGATATTAAATTGAAAAACAAAAAAAAAATAAAAAAAATTAGCATATACCCTAAAAGCTTACAATTGGTGGAATTTTTTAGAACTATATTATGTAGAACTAACTACGGCATCGAAATAACGTCATAACACTCTTTCCAACTCTTTATTATTGCCTTCCAGACATTCCCCAGTGAAAAGAAGTGTTCCAACGTCAATGAGAAGATGCAATTCTGGCACACAACCTAAGCTTTCTACACCAGAATACACAACAACAAGCATAATTGAAACAGATGAATTAAGGTATTGCATATATATATATATATATATATATATATATATATATATATATATATATATAGGCCTAAATTGTTACAGTTATATTTATGTTTCTGCTTGTGTTTGTGTGTGTATGTATTTATATAAGGGTGCTATTTGGCGCCCCGGGCCTTCCCGTGTCCGCTATGGCGCCTACGTTCTTTTGAGTGAGTGCAAAAGACTATGAATACTATAGTCGTTTTCTAAGCTTAAACAGGCGGTTCCGCCGGCGCCGCAGCATGGTGCGATTTGCGTTCATGTTTGCGTTTATGTTTTATTTGTATTTGGTTTGGGTTTGCGTTTTTTTTTAACCCTGCTGGGGCGCCGACGGATGCGCCTGTTTCAATTTAGTGAACAATTATATATTATATAATACTCCAAGCTTATCCGTAAACGGAAAGAAAGAAATATTTAGGACATGAAGGACCTGGCTTTCTGTTATTGATTAAAAATAATCAGAAGAAAACAGTACGTCCAGTGTATGGAATAAATAAAATGCAGTATTAAAAATACCAATAACATTGCGCTTAATCAATCCCCGCTAATTATATAATTTTTTTTCCTAACACCAAAACAAAGTAATAAAAAGTAAATTCTTTTCTCTCTCTTAATGGGTTTTTAAAAGGAAGTACTGTGTTTTTCAAATCAAGGGACGTAATGAGAACTAAAGGACAAAATGCAAATACATTTCAGACACAATTTTAGAAATTTTATAAACGTTGATACACTTTTTAAAAAATTGTATGTAGTGTTCATAATTGAACATTTGTTATTCTAAGTATATAAAATTGTTTTTAAAGACTTTCAATAGTAATTTTTTAACTCATAAATTTAGACCATGAGCACTTTAATAAGCTAACACTTGAATCCATGAAAGTATCATTTTTTTCGTTTTTTCTTATATTCCTTTGTAATCCACGACAATTATTTTACAAACATACATACACACAGAATTGAACTTTATATATTAAACTAGCCGTCCCGGCCAGGCCCTGCTCTGGCTTCTGTGAAAAACCTTTCTGTTAAAGACCATTACCTGTGTATTTAGTAATCATCATAAACCCGGCATTGCCCACCCAAACCACAACCAACCAAAACAACAAAACGCAAACATAACGCTAACACAATTACAAATACAAACGAAAACAAAAACCTAACAACAAACCCAACCACAACCACAAACACCAATACAAACACAAAGAAAAAACAAACAAAAAAGCAAACGAAAACAAAAACCTAACAACAAACCCAACCACAAACACCAATACCAACAAAAAAAACGAAAAAGCAAACGAAAACAAACCAAATCCAAACGCAAAACCAACCAAAAACACAAATACAAACCCAAACAAAAAAACACAAACAAAAACGAAAAAAGAAAGAACAAAAACGAACCAAATCAAAACGCAACCACTAACGCAAACCCACCTAAACACAAAGAAAACACTAACGCGAACATAAACGCCCGGGGCGGAATCACCTGTTTTAGCTTAATGAACGACTATAGTACCCCAACTTATTCATAGTCTTTTGCACTCACTTAAACGAACGCGCCTGTTTCAATTTAATGAACAATTTTAATACTCCAAGCTTATCCGTAAAATACCTACAACATTTGCACTTGATCAATCCCCGCTAATTATGTAATTATTTTTTTTTTCCAACACCAAAACAAAGTAATTAAAAAGTAAATTATTTTCCACAAAATGCAATGGTTTTATAAAGGGAAGTAATTTTGTTTTCCTAATTTATCAAAGGGAAGTAAGTGCTATCGGACTAAATAAAGACATAATTAGAATTTTTGTAAAAGATGATATTTTTTTAAAACTTGTGTTTAATGAACATGCCGACAATTATTACTATAATTTGAAAAATGAAAATTATTTCCCAACACTTTCAATAGTAATTTTTTAGCTCAAAATTTAGACAAATGCGCACGATAATTTTCCAAGACCAACGACAAACATATGCATTACATACAGAACTGAGCTTTATATATTAGATTCGAGAAAGTTTAGGGGAGATCACTTAAATATACACTATTGCACAAAACGCTTTCATACAATTTGTTAATAAGTAATAAATGTTATCTACTCACCAATTTAGTATACATTCTTTCCGATTTTAGTCGGCGGAAAAGCGCCCCCCCCCCCCCCCCCCCCATCCAGGAAAATTTGAAAAGCGGGTTTTGTCTGTTACTGTTTCTTACTAAGGGTATTTGTTGTACAGTTAGACAATCAAGGTAAAAAAAAAACAGTTAATTCAGTATGTAAACGCATATAGCCGTTAAATTTCTTAACTTTGTATATAATTCAAAACTGCAGCTTAAAATTAGCTTTTAAATATTTTTTCTACCCCTTTTGCCGTCCCCTAGCGTCAGCGCCCGGGGGGGGGGGGCGCCGCCCGCTCCCTTCCTTACCCTTCTAGCTACTTTTCTGTAGACTATGTCGTTACTATAACTATTCATTAATCGGCCTGCGATTTAAACGAAGTACATTAAAAACTCCGCAATACGTAGGTTGTTCTTTTCTATTTCAAACAGAATGGGTGCAGAGCTAAGAAACATCTGTTCTAGTCATGGAGGTAACCGAGTTCCTTTACAAAAGCAGGAGTTGACGGAAGCAGACAGGAAACTATTGTCTTTGTATGTTAGGGAAAAAGTCTCAGTAGCCGATACAGTCTGATCAAATCACTCTCCTTCTGAGATAGCAGTGGTGTTGGAGCAGTAACCAAGTGTCACATTACCTTGTGTGGAACGTGTGTTGACGTAACAACTAATAAACCAAATCGTTTCTAATCTGAACATTTTTACAAGCTTTTATTTAGTTTACAACGTCTGATTGTTTGTTTGTTGGTTTGTTTGTTTGTTTGTTTGTTACAAAAAGAATAGTTTTGTTTTAATTGCAATGGCCAAACCAGGCTGAATGCGGGAGAGACTATCATCTACTCAGGTCATCAGCAGTGTTTGTTCCAGACTTTTTTCTCCGGGGGGGGGGGGCGGACACTGTTAAAAGTATATATTTTCTATATAAATTTCGTTCTGGGGGGGGGGGTAGACTTTCTTCGGGGAGGAGGCTCTGCCCCCCCCCCCCCCCCGAAGAGATGCCTGGAAGAAACTCTGGTCATCAGGATAAAGATAATGAATACATTCAAGGTGTAACGCTAATGATGTTTCCAGGAGCAATAAATGCTTTATTTGCATAGAAACCAGTCTATTCACGACTTATATCAACTCGATTCTATGCCAAGGGAAAGAAAACAACTTTAATTCAGTGTCTTTCACCCACGGGAGCCCCTATTACACTACCGCAGAGGCGCCATAGTGCTCGCAGGGGAACCCGGGGCGCTTCGAGTCGTGCAATCAACTCCCCAAAGTTTCATAGCACTCGCATTTTCTTCTCGCAGTTTACCGCCTCACAATTTCGCTTTTCGCAATTTCCCATCACCCTTAACTAACCGCATTATCTGAACTGTAATGTAAGCATATCACTATCACAAATCATAATCATGATGTTTCAAAATGATTAGCCATTCTGATAAGCCCATGGCCTTTGTCCCAGACACGTAGGCCCAATAAATTATTACCAAATTAATTAGGCCTAGTAAAATCGAAGAATCTAGCTAGCTAACTACTAGACCTAGATCTAGATAGTAGATATATCTAGATCTAGATGCCTACAACAGTTGTAGTACAAATGCATCTATTTTTTAGATCTAGATCTAACTAGTCTGTAAAAGATCTAGATTTAAAGTTTAAACTTTAAAGGTAGGCCTAGATCTAAAGGTACGTAAAATCGGCCGATGCTAGTAATGTGCGTAAAGGTTGCCTCATTGTTAAGGCTTTAATAGTCCAGTTTCTTGTGATATGTGTGTGTCAAATATTATTAGCCTATAGATCTAGATCTAGAATATAGAATCTAGATCTAGATAACTGAATAATAAACCAAAATCAATGGCTAAATATATCAGTATAGGCCAGAAATTAACTTAAAACAGCAGTGTGTGTGTGCGAGCAGGATTTGCTATATAAAAGGCGACCATCTGTAAGTTAGAGTGGTTTGCCTGAATATCAGAAAAAAAAAGATGGCTGCAAAAGTAAATGAGCTTGGTTGTATCTGATGAAAACATCGCTAGTCTTTATTTTTACAGAAAAGTTTTTTTTACAATTATTTAAAAACAGGTATAGATTCTATTAATGAAACTTTGAAACATTTTTGTATTTTTCAAAACATAAATCCTCCTATACATGTGAAATAATTACTAAAATTGAATGAGGCACCTTTTTTTCACATTACTAGAGTAGATTCTAAATAGTACATTCTCTCTAGATCTAGCCGATTTTACGCACCAAATCTAGATCTAGGTTGTAGCATACAAAATGATTTTTTGAGTATTTTATATTAAAATTATATGAGTTAGAGGAAGGATTAAGATTTCCATTGGTACCAAATTTATATTTCTAGACTAGATCTAGCTTCAAGGAGAAGCTCCTAGGAGAGGAGAAATAAATTTTGTCCTGTTTAAAATTATGGTCTTAATAAATAATATAAATAATCTGTGTAAAAAATGAATCAAATGGGAAACACAAATGAAAATTTTATAAAATATGTTTGCAAAAAAAAAATGAATTCTAATGATAAATTATGAATCAGGGATGGTTCCTTTATGATTATGTAAATTTGCAGTAATAGGCTTGTTTCTGTTTGATGTTATGCTTTGTTTTTTTAAAAATGTACATTATTACTATGACTAATTAATTAATTATAATTATATAGGAAAAACAACATGGCTGATAAAGGTCCAAATCTTTAAAAATTTATAAAAATATATTTGTAAAATTGAATCACAATTTCTTTATAAAATAAATTTAACTCATTTTGCATAGTTTTGTGTGCAGGCAAGTGTTTATCAGTAGATCTAGATCTAGTTCTAAATCTATAATCTAGATCTATATTTTTATTAAATTTATTGCTATTTCAGGAAGCAAGATGAGTAAAAATGCTGGAGTTTTACAAACCAACAAAGGTTAGAATCACCATAAAGTTAAATCTAAATATAATTTTTTTAAAAAACATTGGGGCCTATAATAATAATATAATAATTAATAATGCATAGATAGGGTTGCCAGATAACTTTTCCGAAAATACTGGACACCTTTCCATCCTTCCCTTCTCAGGTATGCCGCAAAGCAGAAGAAGGGGGGTAAAACATATACCGTATATGATATACGTGTCCAGTATTTGTATTTATTTTATCCTGGACAGTCTGCTCAAATACTGGACTGTCCAGTTCAAAACTGGACACCTGGCAACCCTATGCATAGATCTATTTCTATATGATATTCAAAGTCAATAGGCCCCTAGATCTTAGTACTCTATACTACTCTATAATAGTATTTATTAAAGTGTAATAAACTATAAAAAAAATGTCTCATATATTTATTTTTATTAATAAAGATTGACTCAATCTTGTCTCAATCATTGAGACAAGTAAAAACCCTAGTTCGCCAATAAAAGTGTAGGCCTAATTGTAATTATTAATTATAGTAATAGTGAGTATAGACTATAGATAGTGCTGTATATATATATATATATATATATATATATATATATATATATATATATATATATATATATATATATATATATATATATATATATATAATATAATGTGTTTAGGCCTAAAAATATTCATCAAGATTTAATTTTGTTACACTCTTTAGTATAGACTTTCAAATACTTTCTAAATTATATTAGAACATGTGCTATAGCACAGGTCCTGATAAAAGCAATAGATCCTATGCTATGTATTTTAATGTTGATCTACATGTTAGTAATGTTACTGTCACACCTTTTACTTTTTGGCTTTTATATTACGGTTGAAGTAAGAAATAAAAGGTAAATCTAGTTAATAATTAGTTAAATTTAAATGTCATTGATATTAATAGAATAGGCTTTTTTCTCAATTTTATACTTTATGAAAATGTATTAAAATAATTCACAAAAGCCTATTATTATTATGTATGACTAATTATTATTTTAGGTGTAAATTGTTTAGATTACAGGTAATAGACCTAGGCCTCTGTTATTGTTATTAGATTGTTTCCCTTTGGGGTTTTGGTTATAAACCAAAAATGACTATCTACTCCATGTACAGTTATAAAACATTTCAGTATAACTTCAGCATCAGATCATGTACCATTTCTTGAAACACCCCTACCCCCCCCCCCCCCCTCCCCCACACAGACGCACATTCAAACCATGACTATGTTCTAGGCCTACCAATATGCTTGGGTTTTTTATTTTGTTCATCAAATGATCTATTAGAAGAAATGTTAAATGCCATAAAGTTAGCAAAATCAAAGGTAATATAAATCATGTCACTATACATCACCCCCCCCCCCCCCCCCCCCCCCCCTTCTCAACCTATCTAACACTTATATATAAGTATATATACAAAATTTATACCAAACATTCCACCCTATCATTATCCCTTACAAAACCACAGTGTATTAGCTCTACAAATACACTGCCGCCATACAGCTTTAAGAGAACATTGCCTCCCATACAAACCAAAATAAAACATCAGCACATGACTTACAAATGATTATTTTTTTAAACAGACACTGCAGTTATGTTTTTTGAATTGATGATGATGGATGAATACAGTATAACTTCTACTTTTTTAAGTTGTCTTTTAATAGCCACGTTTTTTTTGTTTTTGAATTTTTTGCTAACTTTATTTACAATTAATTGATCTAGATGTTTTAGAAAAATAAATGTGCTTATGTTTTTCCTCATTTTGCTTCTAGAATAAATATTACAGTTTAAAATATAGCTTTGTGTTATATTAATTTTTCAGAAAAAGACTGTCCCTTGACTTGTATTGTAATAGGAGCAGGATCAAGAGGGAGTGGTTATGCCTTATATGCAAAGTTGTTTCCAAATGAAATGGAGGTTATAATGACTTTTTAATACTTTTGTTTTATAACTCAAAATTTTTCTTTCTTTATGTGTATTAGAAGATGTTTGTGACATTTAATCTTACAAAAGGTTGTTGGTGTTGCTGAGCCAAATGACAGTAGGAGATCTGAGCTTTTAAAACTAGGAACCATCACAGAAGATAAAATTTTCAAAGGTAGCTATAAAAAAAAAATATTTTTCCTAATGTGTATTTAGGGTGACACTGAATGATAGGGCAAATGATCTTACGACCAATGATCTCAGACAAAATATATCAGGACACATGATTACATGGACAAAAAAATATCTGGAACAAAATACACCAAGGCAAAAGATATGGACAAAATACCTCAGACAAAATATCTCACAGCCAAATAGTTATAGCATCTAGTTTCATTTATCAAAAACCCAACAAAAGTGCAGTTTCATCATACATTACACTAACCTTTTTTTGTAGCATGATTGATTAATTTGTTAATTATTATTAGTTGTATAATCTGCAGTTTTAAAATAATTTTACAGAGTGTGATACACTTTGTATACCATGCACTACTATACTCGTTGACTAAATCTAATGAGGTGCATACTCTGGTGCCTTGGTGCCCAGGTTCTCCCCCATGGGACTTGGCGCCATATGTTCAGTGATTAAATAGAAAGCACCTTACAATGTCTCTGACACATGGGTAGTCACTGAGGGATGTCTACCTCACTATAATGGAGAGTGACTAGCTTAGGCTCAAAGACTTTCATACAGCATGCCCTGGGGCGTCTAAGCGAGAGCATGGCCTAACAGGAACCTCACTAATAATACTATCATTTCATGCACACTAAAAATAACTAATGAAATAAAGTCATTCAACTATGGACAATTATCTTTCAAACCATTAGATTTTAGTCATTTTTCCACCTCCTCAAAAAAAATTGTATATGTTCAACAAGGTATGGTATCTGTTAGGGTTCGCTGTGAGAGGGTTCAACCTTTTTAATACCATCATCAACCACTGTGGGCGTTTTTCTAAAAAAATTCACTCCTTCTATAAGTTAACGCTTGGTCACAGACATCACAAAATATAACAGGATACTAATTCTTCCTACTTTAGTCTTTATTCAAACAGTGCTAATATCAGTCTACATCAACAACATAACCACAACCTGCTTCTTCAATACTTAGCCCCTAACTTCTAGCTTTTATTCTATCTCAACAACGTTCTTTCTACTTTCTACCTCACTATTGCGCACCAATCCAATATTTACTCGCACCAATCTATACTCAGAACATGCATCATAACAGTATCAACAACTTGAGTATGTGTGTGGGGGAAGAATTAATTTTTTTTCTTCAAAAATGAATTTAGCATCTAAAATATATTTTACAAAATAAGGAAGTTTTTTCTTTTATTATTGTCACACTTTTTAATACAAAACAAAATATTTTTATAATTGTTTGCTTATTTCCTACACAGACTGGAAAGAAGTTGTAGAGTTTGAAAAATTTGCTGATTTTGTGATCATAGCTACAGTGGATCAAGACCACAAAGTAATAACTCTATGAAACTAATCCTGAATAAATTTCTTTAATTTGGGGTCTGTTTTTGTTTTAAAGCTAATGTTACAAGCATATAATTAAATCTAAAGACTTTTATTTTATTGCCAATATTACATTATCTTCCCTTCATGTTTTTGCAGAAAAAACTCAGAAGCTAAAAAAAAAAATTGAGAATGTACATCTGATGTTACACATCTAGAATACTGTTTTTAATTTTTTTAACAAAATTTATTTTATTCAGTTATCTTCTTTATATATAAGTTTAATGTGCCTAATCAGTGGCGTAGCCATCATCGTTTCATGAGGGGGGGGGGGGGGGGTTTACAAAATTTCTCCATCACCATGTATACATATTTAATTATAAATGTCAAAACAAATCAATAATTACTTCAAAATGTAATAGAGTAGCTTAACATAATTCGTTTTTACAAAAATATGTTGTCTACAATTAAAATTAAATATATTGTTGTCATAAATGCTAAAATATTACAGGATAATGAAAGTTTTTGAAATCCTGGGTGATATAAAACCACGCTTTTCATTATAATAAAAAAAGCATTCAGAATAATAGCCTACATATAACTAAAACATCAGTCTTGCAGTTCAATTCATACATATTTTAATTAGCTACTGCTTTTTGTATTCTTTAAAGATCACACACCTTATTACTGGTAGTTGCAAAAACAATATTCACTGAGTTTGACGTTTCAAAAGCTATGATTCTGTCGGCATGGTACTTTGGTACATCATTACGCGTTTTCCCAAATGTACTTAACAGATCAGTTCGGGGTGGGTTGGGAAGGGGGAGTTAACTTCATTCACCTCTGTCTGGTCACTTTAGGTCAATTATCCAACCCAGCTTATACTTAAGTCAATAATGTCGCTCTACACAATTGTGGTGGGGGGGGGGGGGGATTACCAACTCGGAGTGAACAAAGCGTCAGTTTTTAGCCAACTGTTCTAAACTTACATAATTGTACATGTATACTGATTCAGAAATAATTTAAATAATGAACAGTGGTATATGACAATAAAAAAAAAAATTTACTGGGGGGGGGCTATAACACCCCCCCCCCCCCTCCCTGCCAATGCCACTGGACCTAATGTTAGTTCAAAATATGATAGAGCATAGTTTTTCAATAATCTTACAGTTGTTTTTTCATAACTATTACAGGAACCAGCCATTGCTTTTGCCAAACTTGGCTACAATATCCTACTTGAAAAACCCATGGCCGTAAGTTTTACACTTCAATTTTAGAATTTTTACTAGGCATCGGCTTGCTTCCGAAAAATATTTTATAAAATAGTTATTGGCTAAAACGCAAGGTGCTTTACTACACATTAAATGGAACCAGTGTCAAAGCAAAGAAATAGCTAAAACCCTGACACATTTAATATAATATTTGCTACCAATACCTATTAGAAAAAGGAAAAAAAATATATATAAATTATTAGTCAACAATACACCATTTTAAATGTGCACACTGATTAAGAGACTTAAATGATTCTATTAAAACCTGGCTATCCAATAGTATTTACGTTGTTTTTTAAACATATTTTTATTATTTTTGCCGAGAAAATTGTATAAATTTCACAGCATATATCTCGATAAGTAGATCTAAATCAAATTTTAATGAAATAGTTATTTTCTTCATATTCTAAAATTGGAAGCGAATCTTATTGAAGATGACTTCATTAATATTGTGTATCATTTTCAATATTCGATTTTTAATTCTAATTTTTATCCTCCAATCAGTGACGCCATTAGTGTTGTGTACTTTTCGTAGTTTAAACTTTTACTAACATTGTTTCATAAGGATATTTTTCTATTTGTCTCAAGTGACTTCATTTTGCCAGTGATAGCTTTTATATTGCTTGTAAGTTCTCTACAACTTTCTTGTCACAATCATAAACACTTCTCCAATTACATGATTAAACATGTGTTTCTACATTTCAATATGCCTTTATTTTTATTTTCTGTCTTTAAATAAAATTAAATTTTTACATCTAATAATCCAACATATTTTCAACAAAAGCCCATATCATTTAGTTCTTCATATATTGCTGAAGATACTTACATCATAGCCTTGGAAAATTTGCTGCATTGAGAGGGAGAGATGTGCGCATATGGCCTTTTTTTTTATCTGGTTCTAATTTGTGGAACAATCTTCATAATAAAATAAAACTATCTAGATCTGAAAATATATTCAAAACTAAACTAAAACAACAATTATTTAATGACCTCCTTAACTGACTAACTACAACATTTCTCATTCATCTTTTATATTCTTATTCTATCTCATTTTGTATAAGGCCTATAACTATGAAATATTATTTCTTTATTTCAAATTTTTGAGTGCTATATTACTGCTATGTCTTTATCACTCAATTGTTGTTGTTTTTTTTTTTTGTTTTTTTTTTAAATATTGTTATTACGGTGTTTTTGCTTTTTTTAAATGGCCAATGTGAAAAAAGGCCTGTGACTACTGTTGTTAACGTTATTGAATAAGTAATAAATAAATTGAATATGTATTAGGATTGTTGTTTTAGAAAAACAAGCTAGGAGAATCATTGTGGCTTATTTGATGATGGTGCAAGAAATACAAACAGCATTAAAATGACAATGTCCTTCAATTAAAAATGTTCCTAGGTTACTGAAAAAGACTGCAGAGAAATTGTTGAAACATGTAAGCAAAAGAATGTAAAACTAGCAGTTTGTCATGTTCTTCGCTATACTGCTTGGGTTAAAAAAATTAAAGAGATCATTATGTCTGGACAAATAGGTGATGTGGCAAACATTAGACATACAGAACCAGTGAGTAGGTTTTATGTAATACCCTAACTTTGTATGGTTAACTACTTCCCTTATATTACATAGTACATAGGTTATCATTATTGAAATAGGTCTATTATAATTGCAGTTGTTAGTTGTTTCTTAAAAAGTTATACCTGAGAAAAAACAGAAAATTTATAAGGCTTAGCTACAAGTTTTAATTGTATGTTCTATTTTTTGTTATTATGCTAGTATACGAAACACTTTACTACATATATATAATTGTTATATAAGTATATACATATGTATAATACTAATATACAATGCATTATAATAACATGAATTGTTTTATGCAGGTTGGGTTTTGGCACTTTGCACATTCTTTTGTTCGTGGCAACTGGCGAAAAGAGGCAGAAAGTACTTTCAGTTTACTATCCAAGTCCTGCCATGATGTTGACTTAATTAATTATTGGATGTCCCCCAGGAAATGTGTTAGTATTTCTTCATTTGGAAAACTAACACACTTCACAAAAAGAGATAAGGTAACAATTTTATTTTGTAGCAGATATTACAAGATTGTATGTATATTTTAAAATATTAATAACTGACTACTACTATCTAACAAGTCGGAGGGTTTATTAACAATAGATTTTTGTTAATACTGAGCTAATGGTATAATCCTTTGATAAATTTCATTTTAGCCACCCCGAGCTGGAAGTAGATGCTTGGATTGTCAAATAGAACAAAGCTGCCCATATTCTGCAAAGAAGATTTACTTAGATGCTTTTAGACAGGTATGTTTTAATTATTATTAAATATTAAGGAAACTATTGCATAAATAAATTAGGTTTCTTAAAAAGCTTAAAATAAATTGTTAAATTATTATTATTGGGATCATATCTTAAAATTGGGAAGGCATGGTCTTGAGTTTGGATCCTAGATTCAAGTCTCTGTGGCATTCAAGAGTCTACCCAAGAGTGAAATAAAGGGGACCCTTCATATGCAGAGATCAGTGAAACATGAAGCCTACTTCATTTACCTTATGTTTCTGGGAAAAAATAATATAACTTCTTAGATGTTAATTGCCTTGTCATAAATATAAACATAATTGTATTTTTTTTTTAATGGAACACTGCATCCAAAAGTTATGTAGTTTGAATCCAGTATTTTTTTAAGTAAGCCTAGTACTGGATGAGTAAAACAACACACGGTGAGATCAAATCAGTGCTTTTAACCACAAACATTTAACAGAATGTTAGTCATTTTAATATAAATACATATATATATATATATATATATATATATATATATATATATATATATATATATATATATATATATATATATATATATATATATATATATATATATATATTTTAATATAAATACATATATAAATATATATATATATATATATATATATATATATATATATATATATATATATATATATATATATATATATAAAGGAAAGCATGTCTCTATGTGTGTTTTATGCCTACAACACTATTTCATCCGATCCTGTGTAACTTTGGAAAGTTGTTAAGAATACTCCTACAATAAAGGTAGCAACCTGGCAGAAGAATGCTGGTTAGGAGTTCCTTATTTGACTGTTTTAGTACCTGGGATCCATTGATTTGGTCTCATGCACAGAGGGTCGGGGTAGTACGTGATTCAATGGTCAAATGTAAACAATTGCATCGGTCTGCACTCTGGCATTCTTGTGTGACCCAGACTCCCCCATGAGCATTTAGGTACCTTCGTTTATTTTAAATAGTGGTACACTGCAGGCTACCTAAATAAATAACTAAATCAAACAAGGAGTATCCTGTGGTGCCTTAGAAGTCATATGACACATTGTACCTGGGCTCCACAATGAGCAATATGGCATTTATATCGCTTTTAAAGAGCTCAATACACTATGGATATGGTCGGATATTATAACCGTTGACTAAATCAAACCAGGGTTGTCCTCTGGCAGTAGCGTTTGGATAGGCACATGAAATTTCCCAGAGGCTACCTAACCACATGGAGTGCGTTAAATTGCTGTCCTGTACAGGCAGTAAAGGATACTACTTGATTGAACAGGAGCTAAATGGTGGTTCAAGAGAGCGCCCGGCAACATTCCTGACACACAGATGATCAGTAAAGTGTTCTATCTCACTAGTATGGAGGGATATTAACTTTTACTCAATGCTATCATATAGCACGTCCTGTGTGTCAGGGCGATAATGTGGACAAACCTTCGCCTAAACTGGCACAAGTTCTAATACTGACATGAACAACTGACAGCAGGTTGTGTTGACTGGCACAAGTTCTAAAACTGACATGAACAACTGACAGCAGGTTGTGTTGACTGGCACAAGTTCTAATACTGACATGAACAACTGACAGCAGGTTGTGTTGACTGGCACAAGTTCTAAAACTGACATGAACAACTGACAGCAGGTTGTGTTGACTGGCACAAGTTCTAATACTGACATGAACAACTGACAGCAGGTTGTGTTGACTGGCACAAGTTCTAATACTGACATGAACAACTGACAGCAGGTTGTGTTGACTGGCACAAGTTCTAAAACTGACATGAACAACTGACAGCAGGTTGTGTTGACTGGCACAAGTTCTAATACTGACATGAACAACTGACAGCAGGTTGTGTTGACTGGCACAAGTTCTAATACTGACATGAACAACTGACAGCAGGTTGTGTTGACTGGCACAAGTTCTAATACTGACATGAACAACTGACAGCAGGTTGTGTTGACTGGCACAAGTTCTAATACTGACATGAACAACTGACAGCAGGTTGTGTTGACTGGCACAAGTTCTAATACTGACATGAACAACTGACAGCAGGTTGTGTTGACTGGCACAAGTTCTAATACTGACATGAACAACTGACAGCAGGTTGTGTTGACTGGCACAAGTTCTAATACTGACATGAACAACTGACAGCAGGTTGTGTTGACTGGCACAAGTTCTAATACTGACATCAACAACTGACAGCTGGTTGTGTTGACTTGCACACTTGCTATAGAATTTTTTTTTAATTTAGAAAGCTCTGACTAGCAGAAATTCTAATTGAATGCAGGGTCGTACTGGTTGGCCTGTGAAAGTCATTTCTGATGTTGTTGATATCGAACATATCACAGAAGCTCTACAAACTGGGCCTTATGGGAAATGTGTTTATGACACAGATAATGATGTTGTCTCACACCAGGTATTTCATTGTCTTAAATTCCATCAAATTGTTTATGCAAACACTACTACTCAATTTGCTTGTTGTTGATTGTTCTGAGCAACAATTAATCTGGATTTGCTTTATTTCAAATAGTAAGTTGGGTTTTAATTTTGATTTCATATGAGCACACTATTTCAACTGTGTTTTACGTTCTAATTCACATAAAATCCAGCGTATCAATTTTTAATAAATTAAATTTCATATTAATGAATGTTCCAACATGGACCAAGATTTGCGAAAATTAACTGTATGCCTAGATCTAATCAAAATTGATAAGAGCTATTTCCAGAAAATTTATCCTAGCTATATATACCAAAGAGGCCTAATAATAAAAAAGTAAAGTAAAGTTTCCCTTTCAAACCTGACAGTCTATGGGGCAAGTGAAGTAGAGTTCACTTGTTTCTGTGACCTCGGCATATACAGAGATAGTGTGGTCAGCACTATGCCCAGCCACCTTTAATTTCCCTAACGTGAGTTAGGTACCCATCAGAGTTGGGTGGACTCAGGGACGGTCTACTGACTGAAACCCGGATTTGAACTCGAGACTTACGGGTTAGCAGTCCAGCTCTGTACCGCTAGACCACTCCGTCCCATCTTAATTGTTTATTATAACTTATATCTCCTGTTTAAAGAGAAACAACTGATTAAGATATTGTAAAAATAATTGCGTATTTGCACTTCGATCTTTGCATCATTAAACATATTAGTTTTCTTACACAGGTGGTTAATTTTCAATTTGATAATGGTGCAACTGTGTGTTTTAATATGGTAGCTTTCACACAACGTTTGTGTGCTAGAGAAGTAAAAATCTATGGCACTAGAGGTGAAATATCTTTTGAAGATGGATGGGAACATGTTCAGGTTTTCGACTTCTTAACACAACAAACAAGTGAGTTATAAACTATAAGCTGATCAATAATTACGGGACACAAGAATAGAAAATATAATTGGATCTTTTTTTTTTTTTTGGGCAAGACTGAAACACAAACAGAAAATTGTATTTTTATTTATTTATTTTTGAAAGCCAGCTAATCTAATATAAAGTGTATTTCATTTACATCATTCTATAGTGTTAAAATAAAAGTGTAAATATTTTTCAATGGAGATCTAAATAATTTATAGTTGGTCACATAGATTACTGTTCAGAAGTAGGTGTACTACTACTATTAGTAAGTATCATCATTCTTCAATTTATATATATATATATATATATATATATATATATATATATATATATATATATATATATATATATATATATATATATATAAAACAAGCTGGACAGTAATTTGTGTGTTTATAAAGCATCATATACCTGGGGCTGCCCGGGTTATGGGAATATATTAAATTTCCATCTAATGTTAATATGCAAATAACAACATTTGAGAAAGTATAATAACCCTAAACCTAGCCACAACCAACCATAACCATAAACCCTCTCCCCTCCTCGCATTTTAACGTCTCATAAACAACATAAACCCTAAGGCACACCACAACCTCAAGCATAAACATTAACCCTCTCCCTACCCGCAGTTCTTTGCAAAAAAAAAAACATAAACCCTAATCCTCACCACAATCATAAAACAAAATAAACAAAAACACTAACACAAACAAAAGCATACACTTAAACCAACCCTCACCTCAACCTCATTCACAAACATAAATATAAACCCTCTCCACTCTGTGTACTTCTACGCTTAAAAATAAACACAAAAATAAACCCTAACCCTCATCATATTTATCTTGATGTTTGTGGCTGAAGTTATAATGAGGGTTATGGTTTATGACTTATGTTTGTTTATTTTTATGTTTTCGGTTGTGATTAGGGCTATGGTTTGTGTTTATGATAAAGTTTCTGATTGTGGTTGGTTGTAGTTTGAGTTAGGTTTAGGGATATATATTTTTTCTCATGCGTCGATATTTTTATATTGACATTCAACTGGAAATATGTGTATATTCCCTAAACCTTGGCAGCATCAGGTATATGCTGCTTAATAAACAGACAAGCCATGGTCCCGTACAGATAAATTTTTTTTACAAAAGCTCATGTTTAATGGAATTCCTTTACTAAAAAAATATTTGTTTCTGCCTTCAACCTGATGAGTTGACTGCTTTCTTTCACACAAAAAAAATCTAAATATCTGGAAATGCTTAAAAATCGCTTTTTTTTAAAATAAATCATGCTCTTAAATGTACAATGGCTACTAAAAATTCATGTTATTTTATCCTTTAAACATGAAGTAAATTTTCATTGTGGACCTTCATTTTGTAGAGTCATTCAAGCAGGAACTTAGTCTGTCAATCAGGTTTTGATCACTAACCAAACTAGAAATTTAGAAATTTTTGAAGCTTGGACATTTTTTTAAAATGTATGTGCTCATAAGTTAATTTAAATTTTAGCAATATTTTTTAGCATACCATGCTGTTGTAAGCAATCATCCTAACTTAATGACTGGACATGGTGGAGCAGATTTTCACTTGATGCAGTCATTCTTAAAGACTTTGAGAGTAAGTAGCTTTGTAGTTGATTGAGCAGAGATGTTTTGTTAAATCAAAGGCTACATAAAAGGGCAGAGAAAAAAAACTGTAGATGAAAAAAATTAAACACTTTAAAAGAAACATCATTAGTTTTAAAGATACTGATAAACTTTAAATTTAGATCTACACGTAAAAATCTTGACCAAGTAATGAGTTCCATTTTTAGTGAAATTATTGCCCTGTAATTAATGAAGGGATTGAACATAGTGTATATCTTACAGTCTAACATTAACAAAGTCATTATAAACTCGACTTACATCCTTTAGTACTCAATCATTTAAGCAAATTTGTGCTTTTATTACGAACTTTTATTTAGTTCGCAATGTCTGTTTGTGGCAAATCTTGTAATCTTTGACCCACTTCTAATGCAGCGATCGTTCAAACTTTCCAGATACGTTCCATTTCGATGACAACTTAAGTCTGTCAATCTTTTAAAATTTAATTAGATGTTCAACCAGTCATTAAAAATTAATTAAAATGTTCCGAAACCAAGAGGAGATAACAAAATCATATTCAATAACGGAATGGGAGATAACTAGTTAGACGCAGTCACCCGACCAGTCTGGTGAGCTGTAAGTTCACGATTCATGCTGAATATTTACAGTCATAGAAATGGTCGATCTAGTGTAGGCTATATTAGGGGCAGATAATACAGCTTTTAAACTATTTGAATTTAAGGAAAAGATTAAGAGCTATCCTTCGCTTTATCAGCTTGCTATTGTCTGAAAGTGTGGTCACGGACAGCTAAAATATGTAAAAGTTCTTTTAAAGTTCTCATAAGCGATCAAAGCTTTATTAAAGAAAGTAAATTAATTTTATTTTAATTTTTGTCAGTGCATTTAATTTTAAAATCTTGTTACTATAAAGGGTTTTTTTTATGTTTGTTTTATTTTACAAACGTTTACTTATTGTACAACGTCAGCTTGTGTGTGGGTTAGTGGCAAATATTGTAAGTCGATTTTTTTACCCACTTCTAATGCACTGATTCCGGTCAAACTTTCCAAATACCTTCTTCTTTGAGGACAGTAAGGGATATCGTTTTTGTTATTTTGGTTGTTTTTTTTTAACAATCTTTTACTTTGCAACGTCTGTTTGTATGTAAGTTTGTGGCAAATCTTGTAACCCAATTTTGACCCACTTCATACAAGGATATATATTTTTTTAAATCTAATTGGACATCAGATTAGTCATAAAAAATAAAGATTACTATATTCAATAATAAAATAGAAGATAACTAAATAAGCTCTTGTTCACACTGAATGTTGTTTGGTCACGGTTGGTCGTCCGTGTATCGACCACATAGAAGGGGCAAACAACTGGTCTGGTTTTAAATATATTTAATAATAAAAGGGGATATAACATGATTAAATACTAGCGATCTCCCTATGAGTTCACCGTAGCGAGAGAACTATATCCTTATTTTCAGTGGATTTAAAAAGCTTGTTATAATAAAGGTTTTATATTTGTTGTTTTTTGTTTGTTTGTTGTTTGTTTTTTTTTAAATAAAATTTTACACTGGTTCTGGTGTTTAGATAAGTTATTTCAGACATCATTGTTAATCACTTCAAAGTAATATTGCAACAATTTTAAAAGAAAATTTAGTTTTTCGACATCTTTAGTGAAAATTGTATGCAGTAAAAAAAATATCATCAACAGGGAGAAACTGACAATGTAACAGGACCTGAAGAAACTTTAAGCAGCCATCTTCTTGTGTTTGCCGCGGAGAAAGCACGACTTGAAAATAAAGTGGTCACAATAGACCCTGATGGCAGCTTCTAAGAAACTAATAATCAGCCTATTATTTACATACTTTGTGAATGACAAGAAATATTTCTAGTTATTCAATTTTATATTTAATTTGTGCACAAATTATTAATCAAATCACGCCCTTGAGAAGCTGTGGAAATAACCTATTGACCTGTTACTATGTGGTGGAGGGGTTGGTGTCGGACTTATGTGATTACGTGTAACATGTTTAGAAATAAATTTATCAATCACATTTTTTAAAAATTAAAAACTTACTATAACTGAGTTGTTTCCTATTTTTTAAAAGACTTTTTTGAATAAATATATTGAATCACAAATTAATTAATATTCCAACGTTAACCGGGGGGGGGGGGGGGCTTTCTCACAAACTAAAATTGCAAGGATTTATGCTGGATTGATGAGTAGATAACCTTTATCACTTAGAAAAGAAAGCCTATTGTACTAAAGTGTATTGTTCGATTATATAACATTTTTTTAAATTAGTTACCCGCTCTACCAACTTAGTCCAAGATGGGGGGAGCTCTTTTTCGCCAACAAAACTCGCAAGCATCTGTGGGGTCATCCATAAATGACGTCACGCTTTTTTGGACGATTTTTACCTCCCCTCCGTCACACGTCGTCACAAAAAGCCAGACCCCCCCCCCCTAAAATGACGTCACACCTCAACCTACAACCCCCCTCAAAATTGCAGTTGAATTTTTTTAAAACATCGATATTTTTCCAAAATCTTGTCTAAACTATTACAATTTATTAAAACAGTTATCTAAAACGCGAAATAACGTCTAAAATTCGTTTTCTAACATTGCTTTTTTATAATGCAAAAATGTGACGTCGCAACATCTGACCCCCTCCCCCTCATCACACATCATCACAAAATTACGGACCCCCCCCCCCTCCCCCCTACGAGTGTGACGTCATTTATGGATGACCCCTGTACTGGATTAGTGAGCAGATAATTAACACTTAGAAAAGAAACTAATTCCATTGTTTATGACACCATTACCAATTGCTAACCAAATTGACTTAGCCTTTTTTTTTTTGTTCAATTACCGAAAATACTAATACGTCAAATACATCCATCCACTCTTCTTTGTGAAGTCCGCAAAAAACCAAAGTCTGCGTTTTATAACCATATCATGTAATAGGTGACCTGAAAGAAGCGCAACGGAAAAAAGCGCAAACAGAAAAAACGCAAACGGAAAAAAAAAGCGCAAACAGAAAAATGCGCAACCAGAAAAAACACAACGAAAAATGTGCAAAAGAGAAATTTAGCACAAAGACCTAAATCGACTAGATGACACATTTTGTACATGACTGTTAGGGCTGCTGTGAGAGTGTCGTGTTTGATCACGTGATCTACTGCCATTTAAAGCGTATCACTACCATGTGCATTCCCATCACCACGATAAAGGCGATAATCGCTTTACACGATGCCTATTATTTTCTTGGTCAATAATTATTCAACTAGTATTCTCGTATAAATAAACATAAAACTACCGACATTACACAAAGTATCTCTCACATTCTCCCTAGTCCGAACTACCTAGCTTGAATACCATAACAACCCGTTCCTATGGCAAAACTTCACTCTCTTTCGTCCGCGTCATCAAACATGCATTTGTCATATCTCTCGTAAAAACATTCATTCGCACCAAAATAACAATTATGTATTTAATATTTTTTCACATCATGACGCACCTACCTACTACACACTTACCAACCTACACATCTACCCACTTACCCACCTTCCCGCCTACCCAATTACCAACCTTACCACCAAAAAAGTATCGGCGAAGTTCGTTAGTTTCGTAAACTGTACTAGACATCTTTTTTTAATGAAAATTCATTGACATATTATGTTACATATATGTTACATTTTGCGACAACCTTAACTAGTGCGTTGGGCTTGTATGAAAACTCACTTCGAACTAACTCAATTACATGCTATTTATTTTATCATTACACGGTAAGCTTCACCCAACTGTTGTGATGTGAGGTTAGAACAGGTTCGACAATAAACCAACACGAAAGTACGAAAGAGACATAGACTGCCTATTAGAGAATGGACCCCCTAACTTTCCTAACCCCACCATTTATTATACCCTACCTAACCTCTAAATTTCCTGCGCTATATGTCACTTCCCTCCCAATCGCTCCTATTCTACAGAATTGTGTGTACTATTTATTTACATTCTTTAATCTCAATATAACTAAAATAGACTATTGTTTGAAGGGTAATGAAAACATGTAAACATACACTTTTACTAGTGTCCGCCCCCCCCCCCCCCCCAAAAAAAAAAACTATCCACCCACACATCTACCCACATACCCACCTAACAAACTACCCACCCACTTACCTACCCATACATGTATATATATATATATATATATATATATATACTAGCTGCATCCCGTGCTCCGCCACGGTAAATCTTTTTTAAATGTACCAACTTGGGAACAGAAAAAAACTAAACACAACACAAACGAACGCAAAAAAAAACACAAACGAAAAAACAAACACAACACTCATAACATAAACACATCTTAAATGCAATCATAAAGGCATATTGCTCACAGTCTAGCCCGTAGCGCCAAATCGCGCCCTTTCCGAGCGCCGCCGGACGCGTCTGACACAGTGAATGACTATAAAACAGAGGCGTAGCGACTCTTTCCGACGCCCGGGGAAAAACTTACGATTTGCACCCCCCCCCCCCTTCACTTTTGATTTGCACCACTTTTGATTTGAAATTCCCCCCGCTCAATCTGTTGATTTGCACCCCCCTCAAACTTTCGATTTGCACCCTCCCACCGCCCTCAAACTTTCGATTTCCACCACCCCCTGCACCCCCCCCCCCCCGCAAATTTTTTCCAACCCACTTTGGCGCCCCCTTAGGTCGGCAACCGGGGACATTTGCCCCCCCCCCTCTCTACGCCTCTCCTATAAAACCCCCAGCAGTATTTAAAATATCCGTGTTTTAACTACCATATTATATCACTTTATCAATTCACGCATTTTTTTCCCAGTACTTTAAATTTAAAAAAAAAATAGAGTTTCATAACTAAAACCATTGCGCACCAAATGAACGTGATGACGCGTCTATAATAGTGCTTAATAGTTGATAAAAAAGTATAAGTAGTAAACATTAAATTCAGTGAATAAAATAAATAAAAGATAGCCTTTTATCAATCAATGCTAATTATAATATTCCAACAATAATGTACTCTTACACGTCTGCATAATTTGCATTCACATTTTGCTAATTATATTATTTCAACAATTATTCCGTCTTGCAGATTTTGCATTCACATTTTTAGCGTGAGTTCAATTTATTTTTAAAATACCTCCCTTGGCAAAATTACTAAACAGTTTAATTAGATTTTTCTAACCTACAGTTATTATTTATTAAAATGTATCCACTTTTTTCTAGGAATATTAACGAAAACTATATTTGACATTGATCCTTTTAATATGTTTTAGCAATGTGCGTGTATTTAATACTCTCTTTACGTTATGCAAAATTGTACAAACAGTGGAAATTATAAAATAGCTCTATGCCGCTATATAAACAAACCCTACTCTAATACTTATAATAAGACACTGCAATGCACTGAAAAGCACAGCATGGTGCGAATGTTTACTTTTATGATTCCAAAAGCTATAGCGATGACAGAAGGAAGGAAGGAAGGACTGACACACGCTCAGCCCGCTTATATTATATATATATATATATATATATATATATATATATATATATATATATATATATATATATATACTAGCTGCATCCCGTGCTCCGCCACGGTAAATCTTTTTTAAATGTACCAACTTTGGAACAGAACAAAACAAACAAAAACAACACAAACACAAAAAACACAACCACAAACACAACACAACCACAACACAACCACAACACAACCACAACACAAACACAACACAACTACAACACAACCACAACAAAAACACAACCACAACAAAAACACAACCACAACACAACCACAACACAACCAAAAAACAACCACAATACAACCACAACACAACCACAACACAACCACAACACAACCAAAAAAAAAACAACACAACCACAACATTAGAATCACCACCAAACAACACGCTTTTTAGGCGTCCGCGCCCAAAGAGACCCTTTCCAACATTAAAAATTTAAGTCACATAAATGAAGGGCTCAGTGGAAAAAGTACTTAAGTTACATTTTTTCAAAAATGAGTAAAGACCGGTATATTATTTGACTACCTCCCCTTAACCACCCCTGTAAATTTGGGCCATGGAAAAAGTACCGAAGTAGCTTACTTTGAATACTCTGCATCAGCTGTTTTGGTATTTCAATAACAATTTAAAAACTTTGCACTCATTTTTCTCAAAACTCTCAAAATACACTTAAGTACTTTTTCCACTGAGCCCTTCAAATAGATCCTACTCCATAACTTACAATAAAACAATGCGATGCAAATGAATGTACGGCAAGTGGTGTTTACTTTTATGGTTCTAAGAAAACACATTGGCAATGTAATTAGAATTACCACCGAAAATCACGCTTTTCCCAGGCGTCCGCGCCCAGAGAGAGTCTTTCCACCATTCTCTATATTATAATTATAAAATTTCACCATCTGTTAGCACCAAAAAACAAAAACAAAAAATAGTGATTTTGAGAAATCATAGACTAATTAGAAAATAATATAAATAATCTTAACATTTTTCTCTTTTAATTATGAACCTTAACATAGACTAATCAATGCGGTAGTAATAAAAAAAAGATTAACTTAAATTATTGTTGAGTTAAATATATTTTCAAATTACCTCCCTTGAAAAAATTACCACAAAAAAAAGTGGAATTAATTAGCTTTTTCGACCTACTTTTATGGAAATGTATCCATTTTTTCTAGGAATATAAACTAAAATGATATTTGACATTAATCTTTTTAATACGTTTTAGCAGTTTGCGTGTATTTAATATTTTCTTGACGTTATGCGAAAGAGTAAAAACCGTGGCAATTATAAAATAGCTCTATGCCGCTATATAAACAAACCCTACTCTAATACTTATAATAAGACACTGCGGTGCACTGAAAAGCACAGCGTGGTGCGCAGTTTACTTTTATAGTCCCAAAATCTATAGCGATGACGGACGGAAGGAAGGAAGGAAGGAAGGAAGGACAGACACAGCCCGCTTATATTATAGACTAGCTGCATCCCGTGCTCCGCCACGGTAAATCTTTTTTAAATGTACCAACTTGGGAA